TTTTTGCGAGCGATTTAAACGATCTTTGTAAGGAAAAAAGGACTTAACTCGGCAAGTGTTCTGAAAAATCGACCTAAGATTGACGAAACCAAAAAATTTATTAACACAAGATTTAAGACGGCGTTTAAAAACTTCGCTTCGGAAACCTAAATAAGAAAGCACAAAGATTACATCTCTCTTGGGAACCGTGGTAACAGTTTCGGAAGGTCTGTTCCTATGCTTGTTTAAGACATCATTAATATTGAAGGAAATTATGCCTTTCGGGTAACCATTTAGAAGCAGTGTCTCCTTTAAATCAGAGAGAGCAGCCTGTAATGAAGAAAATGTTGAACAGATGCGAAAACAGCGACAAGTGAGGGTGCGGATCAGATTGATTTTGTACTTTCTTGGAACAAAAAGCGACACGCTGTGGAATTGAGATAGGACGTTTTAATAGGAGCTTTCTAGTATTTGTACCTCCTAACATCTCTCGTAAATACTCCGGCCACATAGCTTGCAGTGCCGGCGTATTTTGGGCGAGCGAGTGGACATTTTCGTATTAGGCCGCCATCTTGGATTTGGCAACTGTGGAGGATTGGGGCGAGGAAAAATTTGCCGAGGGAGTAGGCGTGAAGTGATGGGCGAGGGGGGAGGGGGAGGGGAACGAAAAATGTCATTTCAATTACCGGTCAAGCATCCAATTACAATCCAAGATGGCGGCATCGAAAACCTGGTTTATCAGAATTTATCGAGCGTCCCGTTCCAAAATAACGCCTGCACTGCAAGCTAATTCCCTNAAGCAAGCAAGGTAAACATGTACAGCGGTTTATTAACACGTCTACCTTGCATAAGCAACATCCAGGCGTCGAAACCCCATACTCCGCCCGGGCGTTATATTTTTCCACTTTCGTATTAGGCCGCCATCTTGGATTTGGCAACTGTGGAGGATTAGGGCGAGGAAAAATTTGCCGAGGGAGTAGGCGTGAAGTGATGGGCAAGCGGGGATGGGGAGGGGAACGAAACTGTCTTTTCAATTACCGGTCAAGCATCCAATTACAATCCAAGATGGCGGCATCGAAAACCTGGTTTATCAGAATTTATCGAGCGTCCCGTTCCAAAATAACGCCTGCACTGCAAGCTAATTCCCTGTCGAAGTCTTCTTATTTCACCATGGCGTAAGATGATGTACGCAAGATGACCATCGCTAACAGCTTGAGCTTGGGTCTTCTCCAGCAGTGCCGATTTGTCACCGATTGTCATCAGGTTTCTCTTTGTCCTACGCTCGTAGCAAATGAATTTACATCTTTCCTGCTTACGCTCTAATAGTATCGGTGATGCCATGGAAATCGAGAAGTAAGGCAACACGACAAAGCAGACAGAGCGAGAAGAATCGAATTTCTTACGGTACGCTGCAAGCAGCAGTTATACTCAAAATAAACGATGATGTAAAAAGTTCTTACGCACAGCACGCGAAACACGTCACAACAGAAGCTGCTCCCAAATCCAAACACAACTCAACACTAAGCACTTTGAACTGCGTTGAGATTAGACGATTAAAAGATAGGCATTGGGGAAAACCTGACGAACAATGAAAGGTAAATCTGAAAACAAAACATCGTTGTTGACGTCGTGTGCAAATCAACCGGTCAGCCGACTGCGAGAGTCACCATAGTTTTAGCCGCGGATCAAAAGCTTATATTAATTTTTCAGGTAACAATGCGAATTTCTTACCAGATTTTTTTATTATTTCATACCCGCTCCACAGTCAGATTGTTTTTGGTACTATGAATACTTTGCGAAAACCGAGCTACAGCAGGTTGAATCAACACTCGAATGAGCAAAATATAAATGCAAATAGTTGTGTTGTTTATGTCGTTTGGGTCCATTTCCCATTAACAAATCAGAACAATGGGATGGAAACCGGCTCAACAGCATGGCCGCCGTGACGTGAGTCATGAGCGAGAAAACTTGCCAGCACAAGAACGCATTATATTGGGTAATAACAAAAGACGAAACGCCTTGACGGTTTGTAGTCTTAGAGGAGATGTTTTAAGACAACTGGGCACCGTTTATCGACGAGACAACCAGGGCAATCAACGGCAGTGTAGAGAAAACGCGGAAATCGATGGCATTGACTAAGCGCGCGGTACAAACAAGTTCGCTGCTTCAGAAAGCGAAGGAAACTGCGGTACCTACGTGCCGTAATTCAATTTTCAAAAGCCAGACAGGAATGGAAGGATCTTTGCCACTCCTAAAGCGTAATCTTCACTTGGATCTCGTCTTCAAAGATTTCTTAGTTGCTAGTCTCCAGGCCATAGGCAGCTATAGGCGGGTTTTGAAAGCTTTTTACGACAATAACATGAAAGTTACTGAAAGATATTTTGGTTTTGGCATTATAGATCCTCTGCAAGTTAGCTGTAAAACATTTTNATTTGGATATTATTTATCATACATTGAGTTTGGCCTACGCATATCATTCTGTGAACACACGACGCCTTATTCAGCCACAAGCCGTTTCTTTCGCTAGTTTTCTTGATTCAGATGTTTAACTACCGACTATATTTTCGAGCGACTGGAAAAGCCGCTGATTTACAGACGAATGATTTTCAAATGAACGAGAAATGACGTTTATTTTTGGTCGCAGGGAAAACCCATTCAACGTCATCAGAGAGGTCTTCCCGTAAGCGTAACACGATACGCGATGATAAAGCCGAGCAGCGAAGATGAAGATAAAAACTCGTCTTGCGATCCAAGTTCGCGTAGTGCGCTTAGCGTTCTGTCATGCTAAACGAGGTGTTCTCCAGGGTAGAATGCTCAAGTGCGAGGGATCAAAACAGACTAACAATCTCGAGGACCTGTTGTCTACAAACAGGGAAGTGATTTGACATCAGGCCGCTTGGACGTAACATTGACGTAATCAACATATAATTATTAAAGACCGGAAAACATGCTGACATGCAGACAAGAAATTTACAAAGGCAAAGACCGCTAGACAGTTAACAGAACTTCCACAGCCGAGTTTTCAACCGAGTTACAACCCACAATACAAGAACTTCAAGAGTTCGAAGAAGAGGCGATTGATCAAAATCCAGAGGTACTTTTAAATTCAATACTGTTACTTTATATCTTTGAAAAGGTCGTATGGACCAAGTTTCTGCATAATATATTTTAACACAATTGTGCACCTTGCAATAATATTACGCTTTGTAGACAGCCTTCTTTTTGTGCCCTTTCGCCGGCAATCGATACTAATTAACAGTTATTGCAACGTTACAAATTTCAACTCGTTGATGTTTCGGCAACTATAAGCCTCATACTCTGGAGTTTGCACAAATTCGCCATTAAACATAGAACATAAAATATTCAAAATACCCCTAAAATCCACGAAAGTATCATGATGCAATAAACTTTCCTTGGCTCGATGGTTTTCATCATATTTTGCCGTTATATTATTTTATCGACGGGTTGTGGGTAAGATGAAAAACAGGAACTTTTAGATCTGTTTTCGTTTCGAGTCCTCAAATTTGCCAGCTCTGCACAAATGATAAGGAAATAAAAATATTGTTTTGCGAAAAAAATATGTAATGAAGTTAACCGCCACAAAGCTTTGTATATTGATGCTGGTCGTACAAAAATTTGAAGATATTTCGCCATCCAGCTGAAATGTCCAATGCTTTGCTCCTACGGAGCTTACCTATAGCAGGTTGTTTTCGACGGGCAAGGAGTTACATTGACGACAAGATGAAAAACTGGAATTTTCGAATCTGTTTCCGTTTCGTGTCAACGAATTTGTAGCACTAAACAAATGACAAGGAAATAAAAATATTATTTTGCGAAAAAATATGTAATGAAGTTAACCGCCATACAGCTTTGTATATTGATACTGGACATACTAAAATTTGAAGATATTTCGCCATGGGGGCTTACCTAAGGCAGGTTGTAAATGCAAATTCAGAACATCTACAGGGACAATGATTGTATCGAGCGAGCGTCACCGCTGACATCTTTAACCATAACATTGTCTGCCATTCTCAACTTGACAAAATAAGCTGAAACACGTGATACAACACACTTAAGGCATGAATAATATGCATAACTTTCTATTTTGACCAAAATAATTTTTTTCTCGTTGGCCACAAACAATGTAAACTTCTACTTATTAGAAAACTGTCTGTTGAATACTGTTAAAGATTATTGAGTTTCTGTTTACATTTCGATGTACAGAAGGCCAATAATGACATCATGTTAAAAGAATTACTGTAGAATACACGTACAGACAAAACAGGTTCCAAGATTTCAAACATATCTCTAACAATAGAGTTAATGACCTGCGAAATAAGATTAAAAACGAAGAAAATAGGGAAGGCCGAGCTTAATTAATTGCTCAAACTAAGACAGGTTGCTAGTCGCATGAAAAAAATGGCCTGGTTTGTCCGTGTCTAAAGGGAATTGTGGCCACTATTCCAATATTGTAAAAGGAACTCGTATCTCATATTATGAACTTTACCTCGACGTTTATATTGCAGTTGTAACAGCGCAAAACGAATTAGGACGTTTTTTTTTGTTTTACGCGCCTGAGAGAAGCCAGTCAAGCGGTAGGAGTCAAATTCTGGGATTGTTTTCGAATCTAGACACTAGATAGCGACGAAAACAGAACATAACTAAAAAAAAAAAAATATGCTCATACGCTTAGAATTCAGCCAAACTCATGGGAGGAAGATGTAACGCGATGAGGTCATGACCACAAGACATATTCCTTGTTGAGTGGATAGTGAAAGTTAAAGGAAGTGAGTAGGAAGCTAGACTCCCTTCAGTGTTATAAGATCAGTGTCACAGACAGCTGTTTGACCACATGCGACCCTCAAAAGAACTTTAGAAAAAAGTTGAGTCTTTGTGAATGTCACCCGGTTCTGCTGCCGATCTCTTGTTAAACTGACTGAATCGGAACTTCTCCATCCAGTGTCTGAACAACCTCTACGTTGTACATGTATATAAACTATAGAATATGTAAATACTAGGTCATATTGGAACCAGTTAGCACCCTTACCAACGGTAAATGGTCGTAACTCATATTTGTAATATAATTTTTGCTGGACGCCGACAGTGTAGCGGCGCTTGTCCGTTGCGAAAACGAACAAATGTTCTCAGATAAGACGCACCAGAAGACACAAACACCAGCTAGTTCTGGGAACGACATTCCGTTCTTTTACTGTGTTTTAAACAACAAAACTGAATATTTCAAGGGAATCAGACTTATTGCCACATATAGAGATATGCGGCAATAAGTCTGGTAGATTATTATCAGATAATGTTTGCTTTCTTATGATTTGTGAACAGTAGAGATCTCTAAGGGAAAGCCCTGGGAACGAGGTTGAACAGATGAACTGTACAACAGATGTTTTCCTCTTATCTTGCATTCATAAAGCTTTCAAATAATGCTAATTTAAGGTTCTAAATGATGTAATAACAGTATATAACACGAATCCCAGCTAGTCATCGGTTAAGGTAACCTATTCCGGACAAAGAAAAACAGTATGAATGTGAATCATAATAATCTGAATACTTCTTGTGCAAGCTCACCTTCGAGTTACACGCGCGAGTGGCGAAGAGCAAAGCGAGAGTCTCGTCTCGCGGCTACAGCGCTTGTGTTCCAACGTGAGCCTGCTCGCAGGCTATTCTTGTGCCTTGCATGGGGACACCGCGACAGAACGAAATTTTGTCGACGGGGATAGCTCGGACGATGATGACATTTTGATCTTTGTGATCGATACATGCAGAGTTAAAAGTAACCTAGCAGCTAATCTTGTGCTCGATCAGACTCTCAAATTCAGTTTACACTGAGGGAAATAACACTCCGTAGGACAAAAAGATGGCGACCGGTACATTTACTCATAATTTTTAACGCACAAAAACTCTCAAGACGCTCATAAAAACGTACAGAAAAGTTCTAAAAGCTTCAAACCTAGAATTACACACAATGTCGTCAGCACAGGAACAAATATTGCAAAAATGTGGCTTTCCTTGTAGTTTATGGGCTGTGTAAGGCTCGCATGGTGTTGTGGTAAAATGTACAGCAGCCATCGTTTCTTTCTTGCGGAGGATTGCACACGCGATTCTAAGCAGACTCTTCTTGGAAATTTTCAGGTTTCTTGGACTGATCCAGTCTTGTAAATGGGGTGGAAAAAAGTTTCAACAACCCCAGATACCTCAAGTACTTCCCGACGAGATTTGCATCAGAACAACGAAGGACAACAGCACGATTCATTGAGACTTTCCGAGAGGCGATACAGGAAAAGACGAAACGCCATGACACTTTGCATGATGGAGGACCTCTTACAGGCAGAGAACTTTCAAAGTCTTTTAAATATTTACACAACGAGAAGAGGATCTAGAAATTCCGTGGAATAGATGTTTTCACCGTTCCAAGCTTGAAATATCAATTCTCTTGTTGGTTTGCTTAGGCAATGAATTGATGTTGAACGGAGAAATTTGACTTTGATCACCGTTAGGAGTTAATTAAACAGTGTTTGGATTGTGTGGATAGAAGATAACAATGGCCAAGATTCACATTGTATGTACGGTGGTTGCGTGTAAATCAGCAATTGGGTACCCAGTGCAAGCAATATCATACACAATCATTTCATTCAAAATCACTGACGGCCCGGACGTTGTGCCAGCTTATAAACTGTCCAATAAGCAAGCTTAGCTGATATCAGAATTAGCAGTTGTAAACACTTTTGCAATATAATTATTTATAGGTAATCAGAAGTCGATAAGACATCTGAAGTTATTTTACAGAAGCTTTAACAGTACCAGGTGAAAAGAGCTGGAATCGATCAACGACAAAACAAGATTATTTTAACTGTTTTAAACCTTTTTGATCATGTCTTGAAATGAATATATTTTCTTTTGTAGATAGGTAAGCATTTTCATACTTTTTATTCTCAGCTGCATGTCAACTATAATTAAGCACGTTTATGAAATTACAGGTTCTGAAAGGGTGCGTGACTTCTGGCAAATAACGTGTTCGTCGTATATGTCACTAATCTGATTCTGTAATGTAGAAATAAAAATGCTTTTACTCTACCAAATCGTTATCGATGTAGAACTACCGTATGCGTCACAATGGACCCTTTTAGCTTACGCGGGCTTACGCGGTTTGTTGCCCCATCAGTCAGATCATGTGATGGAAAACTTAAGAATTTTTGTTTTCAAATTTTCAGATAGTCGCGTTTATATGAATGAAAAATTTTATAGATGGAAAAAAGAACATTTCCCTAGAGAATATCACGTGGTCTGAAATGGGAAAAGAAAGCGCCGCTCAGCTAAAAAGATATATTGTGCCCGTCACTGCCAATGTTAATCCCATTTAAACAATCACTCGGCCGTTGGAGTGCAACACGGTCAGTAAAAATTGCTTGCAAAATCAAATAGACAAAAGTCTGTCAAACTCTTTCACGGCTATGAAAAGGCATAGTTTATATAAGTGAAATGGAGTCACACATCGGGTCTTTATTTCGACGATGAGCTGAGAGAGACTGGGGCAGAATCAGGAAACAATCTTGTTCACAAAAGTCTTTTCTTTTTTTCTCGCGGGAACGAGGTGCATAGAAAAGACCGCAGTCTGCTTTGCGTGACGTCACGCAAAAGAGAATAAAAGGAATGAAAAGGGGCTGGCGTCGAAACTTAGTACCAGTATTTCTTAAACAAGACGCGGGTACCATGCAATGGCCAGTGTGACGTCACATGCTTTACCCGTTAGCTACCTGGCGGCTCTCAAACATGTGTTTTGGATTATAATCAATGAATCGATTTAAAACTTACATGAATTACCCCAAAATGTTAGCTGATGTCCTCAAACTCTACATGGTTGCCAGCAAAAATGCTGTTTTCTTTCACCACTCGATTTCCCGTCTTGCCGGTCTGTGATGAGATCTGCCCGCCGTATCGCCCGCCGATTTAGGGTTCGGCGTGTTCACCTGGTTTTCTGCGGTATTCTATTCTGCGCTGTTTATATTGTTTTGTATCAAGACCTTGGAATAAGCTTACCGGCTCCAGAGCTTGATGACCGGGTAGTCGAGATTCCCTTGAGGTACGTTGAACTTTCATAACAACATAAAGAAGTTTGTTTAGGTGTGATCACTCAAACGTTTTCAAAGCCTAACATTAAAAGACCGAGTCATTGAACTAATTTTTATTAATGTTTGGTAGCTTTGGTTACTTGACGTTTGAAATACTTTTCCATTTAGTCTTCATTCAAAAGGCAAAGCAGAAAAACTGTTAACGCCGGGCTATATATTTAAACTTACTGCTGACCAAATTAAATTTCATAAGTAACTGCCAAGCAATTTTTCACCTCGTTCTCTCGGGAATACCGCTGATAAATTTACTAAAAACCCTCATCTGGTCAGACAGTACAAATCAATTCCTTTCTGGTTTCGCAGAAACAAAACATAGTTGCTGCTCGAAAACTGTACAGTGCCTTACAAACACAAACTGGAGTTCCCTCCTGTGCATAGTAAAAAACAAATAAATGCATACATGCCATTAACCTTTTCAAATAATTATTGCTAAAGAAATAGCCTTTTAGGAATCAAGGGGCTAAATTATGCTGTTCTTAATTGGAATTTTTCACGGCTAACAAAACATTGGAATAATAGTTAACTACGCAGGAAGCACAGAAAAAATGATAAACGTAGGAAGAGGAAGGAGCATGGGACGAATGTTTGAACATCTCAACAGCAATCCCTAGTGCTAAACTCAGTACATACTGTGATCTTTTCGCTGTTCGATGTTGTCAACCTATACCACGGATAAATGTCATATACCATGCGTGGATCAACATCTGAATTCTCCTTAAAAGGTTAGCACATCAGGTCAACAGACAAGTCACGAGAATAAAGAAACTCGTCGATACTGTCAATTATCATACAGTGAGAAGGTTAAGATATTTCTTCTCTTAGGTTCCGAGTTGCTGAAGGCTGGGTGTGGAAGGACGATATAGACTACAGAGGCACAGCTCGAAAGAGTAGCACCATTGTTTTGGACAAACTCGACTCTACCAACCAAACAGATGACGAGTTACCCCCGTCAGTTGCACAAGACACTGGGCTGGATTACGGGCAGGGAAGGTATCTTGAACTGGAAGGTGTGGAAGATTACATATTGTGGCAAAAAGGATATCTGGAGCCCACGAAAAAACAAGTGAACAGAAAGTGAGAATAATCTTTATTTCAAACTTCTATATTTCATTTGAAAATACAAGCAAGAGCGAGGTAGAGCGTTTGATCACGGCGTAATAAGCTCCGTATTTCTTTGCTTTTGCGTTTGCTGAGCGCTCTTACTGGTTGAAAACCTGACGCAACCTGTGCTCACTGAAGTAAAACCAAAAATAACAGTGGCAGCGCTTATATTCTTTTCCCCTTGTTCGCATCAGCTTCTCGCAGTTCACATTTTGGCAGCGAGCTCTGATTGGCTGATTACGTTATTTGCGTGTATTATAATTTTTGAAATGCAATACGTGATTGCATGTACTTTATTTCAAATTTGTCTTAACAACTTATATGCTCTGTACAATACACCAAAGTTATGCGACGGACACTTGTTGTTGGTCCCGCCGATTTTCAGTCATTTTACTCAAACAAAACTCTCTATAAAAAGAACAACTGGAAACACTTTGAAACCGTCAACAGACTGCTTTTTCAGTAAAAACTATTAAAATACCACCGGCTCCTATGCTATGAAATCCACCACCGAAACTCGCAGACTTGCTGATGTCTTGAAAAAATTTGCTTTGGCAACGTTGCAAGATGAAATTCTCGTTGGCGTACATTAAGCAAAGTTAGTAAGCGCCTTGAGGATTCCGGCCAAACTTTCTCACCAAAAACATTCCGTTGTAACGGATTACTTCTCTGATAACCGGCACCACAGATGTCGTTGTTTTCTACTTAAGGTATTGTAAAAACTCTCAACTTTAGCTCGAAGAGGTGTTTTTTACTGCTGTTTTATAGACATGTATTGTTCCAGTTGGCAATATGAGCTACTCACAATTTGAGAAGACTGTGATGAACTAACTGAACGACTTTAAATAGACTTCAAACAGACGTGTATTCATTGTGCATAGGTTAAGCTTTATTATATCAGAATAACTGTTGTCTGGACTCACTGTAAGCCAGACGTTCCTCTCCAAGACGGACAGTCAGAGCTGTTCGCGACCTCGTCCGTCTTAAAAGTAGTTGACTGTACTGCATCTTTGTCTAAAGTTTTGGGTTATATTTCTTAAAACTTTTTAGAATCCGAAGCTGCAAGAAGGAAATCCAAAATGTTCTCTTTCTCAAGACGCACTACACCGGAAGTGACGTCGTCGCTAATATCCTCAGTCGTTTTGCTGATCTACGTGGCCTGCGCATTGCTCTTCCCAGCGGAGGCCTGTCGACGTTTTATTGGCCTTCAAGATTCCACTGGAAATATGTGGATATCATGTTACTGGACGGCACTCTTCCCAATATACTTTGCAATCACGCTCGATTTAATGGTGAAGTTATGGACGAGATTATGCAGCCCCAAACCGCATTCATCACCATATTACGCGATCCAATGTCACATTTTGAAGTAACGTTTCGAAACTTAAACTTCGCGGAAATTTTAGAAATGGAGGACCTTGGGCAACCCTATTTGACGTTCTTGGAAAATCCTGGAAAATACATCGGTAGGGCAATACAGCGGAAGAGGTTTAAGGTAGGATAATGTTTTAAATTTTGGCCTTTAGGCAGTGCAAAGTGATGTCTTGTAATAGCACCTTAATATTCGAAGAGTCATATGGTGAAATCTACCGAGATGGCTCCTGCCTTTACTGCTTTTCTCCATTTTACCGAAAAAAAAACAGACAAAATCTGTCCGTTCTTCGAATGTGGACCGGCAAGGCTTTATATAGATTCTTTTTCCAGGCCTATCGTACCTCAAGGAACGACTGAAGTCAGCTGCAAAAGTTTACTTAACAATACTTAGCTGTGTTGAATTGAATACGTTTACCTGATCTAAATCTCCCTAACGTAGCTCCTTTTCTTGCTGATAGTCGTCAGTTGCTAATATCGTCTTACAAAATAATAAAAGCCTCTAAAAACGCATGAAAACGACTGAATTAGAAAACGAGCACGGTGACTCCCCATTTTCTTTTTTACTTTTTAACAAAGTTGATCTTTACCCTACTACATGGCAAGTTTTCAAAAAATTCTGTACGTGGAAACATTTTGGGCGTGAACGTAGGGTCGGTTTTGTTATTAAGAAAGAAAAGGGCCTGAAACTAAGTTTGGAAAATATTACTTGAATTCTTTTTTTTAGGATTCTCTCAACCTTATCAAGAATGGAATGTTCTTTGATCTTGGTCTGCGAACAACAGATTATCACAAGACAGAGGTGGTACGTGACGCCATTTTGGATATTGACGATAAGTTCACCCTGGTGCTAATTTATGAATATTTGGACGAGTCGCTGGTTTTGATGAAAAGAAAACTGTGCTGGGAACTCGATGATGTGTTATATTTAAAGTTTCATTATCAACTCCACGGTGAAAACACACTTCACAATATCAATAGCAACATCACAGAACAAATTTACCGCTGGAACAAAGCGGACGCCATGTTGTATCAATACTTCAACAAAACGCTTTGGAATGAAATTTACTTCGAAGGAAAAGGTTTCGTGGAGGAACTTCGTGAGTTTAGAACTAAACACGAAGAAATGGAAAGAGATTGTTTGGGACTGCAACTGAATTTGGAGAAAATTGCGCTAAATGCAAATGTTACATCATTAAATCGATACTTTTGTCAAAAAATGCTTTTTGGAGAGATTGAGTATGTGCACTACTTTCGACGAAAGATGGAAAATAACAAAAGGAAGACTCTCACGAACGGCATTGCCGGCTCGGGGAATGGGACGAGGATATTTTCGGAGCATGCACATGAAAGGATTGGAGAAAAGACAAGTTTACTCACAAATGAGACAGATGCAAGTTCAGTTTCAAGTCGTTGACCAAGGACCGGGAACCAAATTAAAATGCTCTGTTATTACGAGGCATCTTTCGTTTTCCGAGCCCTTCCCGAATGGGAAAAAGTGAATCCGAGTCTTTATGACGTACAACAATTTAACGTATAACGTATTTTTAACAATCAGGCCTCTAAAATAAACGAGTTATACGTTCAGAACCATATGAAAAGGTCGGGGATCCTCGTCGCCTCGCTTAGGGGTGTAAATAAAGGATTTTGGTCTCACTTAGTGTACATGACGAAACGCCACTATTTTTTGTCTTTTAGAGTTGCACTCGAAGAGGTAACAATTAAAAAACGCTCCGTTTTTAGGCTTGCAGTTCTGCCGTTCTCCTGAGTCCGGTCTACTAGCCCGGGCTCCCTTCTTTAACAGTGGCTGGTAATCAAGCGATTCAAGCTTATTACGTTTTAAGTGTTGTCTTTAATGAGTCAAATAAAGCTTGAGCCACGCTCAGATTAATATCTTTTAGGGGTTTAATTCAATTTCCCAACGAGCATCCCCGACCTTTTCGCATCGGAGTACCCCTCCCCCACCGGGGAAAAATGTTACACCCGACGGGTCTGTGTCCCGTTAATATGCACTCCATTAATATTTAGTTGTCTAATAAAAATGGCCTTTGGCGCATTTTCTTCTGTTCTGGAAAGCACATTAGTGCATCTGTGTTGGAGTGTTTGAGTGCGCGCGGTAGGAACGTAGATTGAAACGTCACTTTTTAAAACATGAGGTTTCTTTTCGCTTTTCAAAATTACATTCACCTTTACTGAAATGAAATCCTCTGAGAAGTAATTAACTTTTTCCCTTGTTTATCAAAACAGTCAAAACAACTGTTTGTTCGTTTGAACTACAATGAAACTAAAACAACGGTGGCACACACTCTGTCTTTACTAACTGTTCACTCGATCATTCACTCACTCACTCATATTCATCGAGCCCATGAGGACCTCTTGAGGCCGGTTTTCCAACTGTTGCTTTGAAATAATCTTTTCGTCCAACTGGAAAATGATAAATACAGTATATGATTCTCATCAAGAAAGGGAATTGACGAGAGGACGGTTCCTAGTCCAGGGAAACCACTAAAACGCAGTAAATTATTTTNTTAAGCACGTTTATGAAATTACAGGTTCTGAAAGGGTGCGTGACTTCTGGCAAATAACGTGTTCGTCGTATATGTCACTAATCTGATTCTGTAATGTAGAAATAAAAATGCTTTTACTCTACCAAATCGTTATCGATGTAGAACTACCGTATGCGTCACAATGGACCCTTTTAGCTTACGCGGGCTTACGCGGTTTGTTGCCCCATCAGTCAGATCATGTGATGGAAAACTTAAGAATTTTTGTTTTCAAATTTTCAGATAGTCGCGTTTATATGAATGAAAAATTTTATAGATGGAAAAAAGAACATTTCCCTAGAGAATATCACGTGGTCTGAAATGGGAAAAGAAAGCGCCGCTCAGCTAAAAAGATATATTGTGCCCGTCACTGCCAATGTTAATCCCATTTAAACAATCACTCGGCCGTTGGAGTGCAACACGGTCAGTAAAAATTGCTTGCAAAATCAAATAGACAAAAGTCTGTCAAACTCTTTCACGGCTATGAAAAGGCATAGTTTATATAAGTGAAATGGAGTCACACATCGGGTCTTTATTTCGACGATGAGCTGAGAGAGACTGGGGCAGAATCAGGAAACAATCTTGTTCACAAAAGTCTTTTCTTTTTTTCTCGCGGGAACGAGGTGCATAGAAAAGACCGCAGTCTGCTTTGCGTGACGTCACGCAAAAGAGAATAAAAGAAATGAAAAGGGGCTGGCGTCGAAACTTAGTACCAGTATTTCTTAAACAAGACGCGGGTACCATGCAATGGCCAGTGTGACGTCACATGCTTTACCCGTTAGCTACCTGGCGGCTCTCAAACATGTGTTTTGGATTATAATCAATGAATCGATTTAAAACTTACATGAATTACCCCAAAATGTTAGCTGATGTCCTCAAACTCTACATGGTTGCCAGCAAAAATGCTGTTTTCTTTCACCACTCGATTTCCCGTCTTGCCGGTCTGTGATGAGATCTGCCCGCCGTATCGCCCGCCGATTTAGGGTTCGGCGTGTTCACCTGGTTTTCTGCGGTATTCTATTCTGCGCTGTTTATATTGTTTTGTATCAAGACCTTGGAATAAGCTTACCGGCTCCAGAGCTTGATGACCGGGTAGTCGAGATTCCCTTGAGGTACGTTGAACTTTCATAACAACATAAAGAAGTTTGTTTAGGTGTGATCACTCAAACGTTTTCAAAGCCTAACATTAAAAGACCGAGTCATTGAACTAATTTTTATTAATGTTTGGTAGCTTTGGTTACTTGACGTTTGAAATACTTTTCCATTTAGTCTTCATTCAAAAGGCAAAGCAGAAAAACTGTTAACGCCGGGCTATATATTTAAACTTACTGCTGACCAAATTAAATTTCATAAGTAACTGCCAAGCAATTTTTCACCTCGTTCTCTCGGGAATACCGCTGATAAATTTACTAAAAACCCTCATCTGGTCAGACAGTACAAATCAATTCCTTTCTGGTTTCGCAGAAACAAAACATAGTTGCTGCTCGAAAACTGTACAGTGCCTTACAAACACAAACTGGAGTTCCCTCCTGTGCATAGTAAAAAACAAATAAATGCATACATGCCATTAACCTTTTCAAATAATTATTGCTAAAGAAATAGCCTTTTAGGAATCAAGGGGCTAAATTATGCTGTTCTTAATTGGAATTTTTCACGGCTAACAAAACATTGGAATAATAGTTAACTACGCAGGAAGCACAGAAAAAATGATAAACGTAGGAAGAGGAAGGAGCATGGGACGAATGTTTGAACATCTCAACAGCAATCCCTAGTGCTAAACTCAGTACATACTGTGATCTTTTCGCTGTTCGATGTTGTCAACCTATACCACGGATAAATGTCATATACCATGCGTGGATCAACATCTGAATTCTCCTTAAAAGGTTAGCACATCAGGTCAACAGACAAGTCACGAGAATAAAGAAACTCGTCGATACTGTCAATTATCATACAGTGAGAAGGTTAAGATATTTCTTCTCTTAGGTTCCGAGTTGCTGAAGGCTGGGTGTGGAAGGACGATATAGACTACAGAGGCACAGCTCGAAAGAGTAGCACCATTGTTTTGGACAAACTCGACTCTACCAACCAAACAGATGACGAGTTACCCCCGTCAGTTGCACAAGACACTGGGCTGGATTACGGGCAGGGAAGGTATCTTGAACTGGAAGGTGTGGAAGATTACATATTGTGGCAAAAAGGATATCTGGAGCCCACGAAAAAACAAGTGAACAGAAAGTGAGAATAATCTTTATTTCAAACTTCTATATTTCATTTGAAAATACAAGCAAGAGCGAGGTAGAGCGTTTGATCACGGCGTAATAAGCTCCGTATTTCTTTGCTTTTGCGTTTGCTGAGCGCTCTTACTGGTTGAAAACCTGACGCAACCTGTGCTCACTGAAGTAAAACCAAAAATAACAGTGGCAGCGCTTATATTCTTTTCCCCTTGTTCGCATCAGCTTCTCGCAGTTCACATTTTGGCAGCGAGCTCTGATTGGCTGATTACGTTATTTGCGTGTATTATAATTTTTGAAATGCAATACGTGATTGCATGTACTTTATTTCAAATTTGTCTTAACAACTTATATGCTCTGTACAATACACCAAAGTTATGCGACGGACACTTGTTGTTGGTCCCGCCGATTTTCAGTCATTTTACTCAAACAAAACTCTCTATAAAAAGAACAACTGGAAACACTTTGAAACCGTCAACAGACTGCTTTTTCAGTAAAAACTATTAAAATACCACCGGCTCCTATGCTATGAAATCCACCACCGAAACTCGCAGACTTGCTGATGTCTTGAAAAAATTTGCTTTGGCAACGTTGCAAGATGAAATTCTCGTTGGCGTACATTAAGCAAAGTTAGTAAGCGCCTTGAGGATTCCGGCCAAACTTTCTCACCAAAAACATTCCGTTGTAACGGATTACTTCTCTGATAACCGGCACCACAGATGTCGTTGTTTTCTACTTAAGGTATTGTAAAAACTCTCAACTTTAGCTCGAAGAGGTGTTTTTTACTGCTGTTTTATAGACATGTATTGTTCCAGTTGGCAATATGAGCTACTCACAATTTGAGAAGACTGTGATGAACTAACTGAACGACTTTAAATAGACTTCAAACAGACGTGTATTCATTGTGCATAGGTTAAGCTTTATTATATCAGAATAACTGTTGTCTGGACTCACTGTAAGCCAGACGTTCCTCTCCAAGACGGACAGTCAGAGCTGTTCGCGACCTCGTCCGTCTTAAAAGTAGTTGACTGTACTGCATCTTTGTCTAAAGTTTTGGGTTATATTTCTTAAAACTTTTTAGAATCCGAAGCTGCAAGAAGGAAATCCAAAATGTTCTCTTTCTCAAGACGCACTACACCGGAAGTGACGTCGTCGCTAATATCCTCAGTCGTTTTGCTGATCTACGTGGCCTGCGCATTGCTCTTCCCAGCGGAGGCCTGTCGACGTTTTATTGGCCTTCAAGATTCCACTGGAAATATGTGGATATCATGTTACTGGACGGCACTCTTCCCAATATACTTTGCAATCACGCTCGATTTAATGGTGAAGTTATGGACGAGATTATGCAGCCCCAAACCGCATTCATCACCATATTACGCGATCCAATGTCACATTTTGAAGTAACGTTTCGAAACTTAAACTTCGCGGAAATTTTAGAAATGGAGGACCTTGGGCAACCCTATTTGACGTTCTTGGAAAATCCTGGAAAATACATCGGTAGGGCAATACAGCGGAAGAGGTTTAAGGTAGGATAATGTTTTAAATTTTGGCCTTTAGGCAGTGCAAAGTGATGTCTTGTAATAGCACCTTAATATTCGAAGAGTCATATGGTGAAATCTACCGAGATGGCTCCTGCCTTTACTGCTTTTCTCCATTTTACCGAAAAAAAAACAGACAAAATCTGTCCGTTCTTCGAATGTGGACCGGCAAGGCTTTATATAGATTCTTTTTCCAGGCCTATCGTACCTCAAGGAACGACTGAAGTCAGCTGCAAAAGTTTACTTAACAATACTTAGCTGTGTTGAATTGAATACGTTTACCTGATCTAAATCTCCCTAACGTAGCTCCTTTTCTTGCTGATAGTCGTCAGTTGCTAATATCGTCTTACAAAATAATAAAAGCCTCTAAAAACGCATGAAAACGACTGAATTAGAAAACGAGCACGGTGACTCCCCATTTTCTTTTTTACTTTTTAACAAAGTTGATCTTTACCCTACTACATGGCAAGTTTTCAAAAAATTCTGTACGTGGAAACATTTTGGGCGTGAACGTAGGGTCGGTTTTGTTATTAAGAAAGAAAAGGGCCTGAAACTAAGTTTGGAAAATATTACTTGAATTCTTTTTTTTAGGATTCTCTCAACCTTATCAAGAATGGAATGTTCTTTGATCTTGGTCTGCGAACAACAGATTATCACAAGACAGAGGTGGTACGTGACGCCATTTTGGATATTGACGATAAGTTCACCCTGGTGCTAATTTATGAATATTTGGACGAGTCGCTGGTTTTGATGAAAAGAAAACTGTGCTGGGAACTCGATGATGTGTTATATTTAAAGTTTCATTATCAACTCCACGGTGAAAACACACTTCACAATATCAATAGCAACATCACAGAACAAATTTACCGCTGGAACAAAGCGGACGCCATGTTGTATCAATACTTCAACAAAACGCTTTGGAATGAAATTTACTTCGAAGGAAAAGGTTTCGTGGAGGAACTTCGTGAGTTTAGAACTAAACACGAAGAAATGGAAAGAGATTGTTTGGGACTGCAACTGAATTTGGAGAAAATTGCGCTAAATGCAAATGTTACATCATTAAATCGATACTTTTGTCAAAAAATGCTTTTTGGAGAGATTGAGTATGTGCACTACTTTCGACGAAAGATGGAAAATAACAAAAGGAAGACTCTCACGAACGGCATTGCCGGCTCGGGGAATGGGACGAGGATATTTTCGGAGCATGCACATGAAAGGATTGGAGAAAAGACAAGTTTACTCACAAATGAGACAGATGCAAGTTCAGTTTCAAGTCGTTGACCAAGGACCGGGAACCAAATTAAAATGCTCTGTTATTACGAGGCATCTTTCGTTTTCCGAGCCCTTCCCGAATGGGAAAAAGTGAATCCGAGTCTTTATGACGTACAACAATTTAACGTATAACGTATTTTTAACAATCAGGCCTCTAAAATAAACGAGTTATACGTTCAGAACCATATGAAAAGGTCGGGGATCCTCGTCGCCTCGCTTAGGGGTGTAAATAAAGGATTTTGGTCTCACTTAGTGTACATGACGAAACGCCACTATTTTTTGTCTTTTAGAGTTGCACTCGAAGAGGTAACAATTAAAAAACGCTCCGTTTTTAGGCTTGCAGTTCTGCCGTTCTCCTGAGTCCGGTCTACTAGCCCGGGCTCCCTTCTTTAACAGTGGCTGGTAATCAAGCGATTCAAGCTTATTACGTTTTAAGTGTTGTCTTTAATGAGTCAAATAAAGCTTGAGCCACGCTCAGATTAATATCTTTTAGGGGTTTAATTCAATTTCCCAACGAGCATCCCCGACCTTTTCGCATCGGAGTACCCCTCCCCCACCGGGGAAAAATGTTACACCCGACGGGTCTGTGTCCCGTTAATATGCACTCCATTAATATTTAGTTGTCTAATAAAAATGGCCTTTGGCGCATTTTCTTCTGTTCTGGAAAGCACATTAGTGCATCTGTGTTGGAGTGTTTGAGTGCGCGCGGTAGGAACGTAGATTGAAACGTCACTTTTTAAAACATGAGGTTTCTTTTCGCTTTTCAAAATTACATTCACCTTTACTGAAATGAAATCCTCTGAGAAGTAATTAACTTTTTCCCTTGTTTATCAAAACAGTCAAAACAACTGTTTGTTCGTTTGAACTACAATGAAACTAAAACAACGGTGGCACACACTCTGTCTTTACTAACTGTTCACTCGATCATTCACTCACTCACTCATATTCATCGAGCCCATGAGGACCTCTTGAGGCCGGTTTTCCAACTGTTGCTTTGAAATAATCTTTTCGTCCAACTGGAAAATGATAAATACAGTATATGATTCTCATCAAGAAAGGGAATTGACGAGAGGACGGTTCCTAGTCCAGGGAAACCACTAAAACGCAGTAAATTATTTTGTTTCGGCTCCTTCTGACTGATAAAGCTCCACAATTCTATGGTTCCATTTTATAAAAATAAAATGCGTTCAACGGGATTCTAGAAATTACACGGTCATAAAAATGTACGAAGAGCAACAGATTTAACAATTCAGTGCCCATGGAGTCGAACATGCAGCCTGCGGTGAGAGCTTAATGTTTCTACATCCTTTGTTTCCATTTCGTCAGCTAAATTTAAGTGTAAATTAAAGGAACCATATCATGGTTCGTCGCTTTTTAACAACCGAAGTCCGAGCTATAAGTCCAAGTTAAAAGGTGTTAGTCAACTACAGTGCAAGAAGAGTTGTGTCGTCTCCTTCACCAAGCTGAACTTGGTCCTGTTCATTGCTTGGAGTCAGCTCTAACTGTACATGTTCAGCACCTTCGCTCTGAGTCGCACTTCCAAGCTGCAGGAGTTCTTTCTCATTGACCACAGTATTGTCAGTATTAAGTTGCTCGCTGACGCTATTTATTGTAGTGCAGCTTAACTGTAACTGCTCTGTTGCGATTGTCGTAAGCTCTGTTCCATCACTTGAGGAAATCTCTTGGTCTTCCATATCATCAACTCCAGCGCTATCCAACTGTAGGTGTTCTTGTTGTAATCCTTGTGTGCTATCTAAGTGTGACAGTTCCTCTCCGTTCTCTTGATGATTCTGTGTATGTGTGGAATCCTCCTGTAAGTTGTCCAACTGTAAATGCTCAGGCTCCATTAGCTCTGTTATTACACCTTGCAACTCCTCCTCGCACCCCTTTCTTTCTGCACCGCTCATCTGCAGCTGTTCGGAGTCACTGTTTTGACGGACACTCGGCTGCGGCTCATCTACTCCCTGCTGTCCATTGGTCTGCATCTCTTCATCTCTGTGAGTTCTGTCTTGCTGCTCATGTCCTGGTACTCTTCCTTCAAGCCGAGCCTGCTTTTTAGCATGAACTTTCAAGTGAGCTTTCACGGAGTTTGGTTGAGTAAACCCTTTGCCGCACAGATCACACTTGAACGGTCTTAATCCAGTGTGGATCACTTCGTGTCTGTTACGATGCGAGATCATTGTGAAAGACTTCTCGCAGTGTGAACACTTGTAGGGCCTCTCCCCTGTGTGGCTCCGGAGATGGCTGATAACATCCGAGCTTCGTTTAAAGCCTTTGCCGCACTGAGGACAAGGATAAGGTTTTTCACCCGTGTGAGTTCGCATATGAGTGGTGAGATTCGCACTGAGCGTGAACGCTCTATCGCATACGGAACACTTGTACTTTTTCTCCGGTTGTTCCCCGGTGTGTTTGCGTTGATGAAGTTTGAGCTTTCCTTTTTCTACGAACCTCTTACCACACTCCTCGCATTCGTATGGCTTTTCTCCACTGTGCACGCGCAGATGCCTCTTGAGGGAGGATAACTGCGATAGACCCTTGTCACAAAACGTACACTTGAATTCCTTCTCGGTCGCGTGACTTCGCATGTGGTAATCAAGCTGAGACTTCCACTTGAACGTTCTTAAGCACTGCTCGCAGTTAAATACGGGCTTATCTTCGGGCGCGGTTTTCTTCCTCTTGGTGGGAGAAGGCATTTTGGCTGTGTCACTAGGATCTCGCTCGTTTCTTGCCTTACCACGTGTCTTCTTACGAGGTCTCATTTCAGCTCTTCCATCTTCAGCTGCAGGTGCCTCACCCTCTTCTTCACCAGGTAATGATGACTGCAAGTTGCTGGACTTCTTTTTAGCTTCCCGAGTCTTTGATTGCTTTCTTGGCTTATGCAGGGCCTTGCCTACAACGGATACTTCCATACTTCCATCGACAGCAACTTTACCACTAGACACTTTTCTTTTAGTGCCAGAGCTTTTACTCTTTTTAGCTTTCTTTCGCCCTTGGGATTCATTTGGTTTGGTTACTTTTGTCTTTTTAGTTTGAGGTTCAGAGCCGTCAGCTGTAGAAGCCGCTTTTCTTTTCTTTCCGGCAGGCGTCGCTTTAGAGGATTTGATCTTCTTGGCCGCAGCATTTCGTGCTTTTGTACCATTTGAGGAAGACGTTTCTCGAGCCTTTGAGAGCTTTGGTTTGCTGGCGATCTGTTTTGCTTTTCCCACACTCTCTGCAGAACGTTTACGAGTGTTCGCTACTTTTGGTGTTTTGCCGTTCACCAGAGGCGTCGTGTTCTGTTTTTCTTTACTTAATCTGCCTGTTATTGACACCCCCGAACTTGGCGCAGTTTCTACAAGGACAACACGATAAGACGAGTTTTCCTCAACAACTGTTCTACTGTTTTCACTATTAGTAGCTCCAATATCAACCACAACCATTGACGACTCTGCATCAGAAGGAAATGTAACGTCCTCCTGATTGCTTTTCGTCCTCTCGACTGACTCCACTGGCTCGTCTGCTTGAAATTCATGGTCTTGAGAAGGATTTGCCTGTATACTATCCTTGATAACTCCACTTTCTTCACTGGTAGCAATCCCATTGTCACCTATAGTAAGCGATGACTCTTCGTCACACGAAGACACTGTCGCTTCCTCTTCGTTGGCTTTCTCCGTCTCTAATAACTCCGCGGGAGTATCTACTTGACCTTCATGGTCTTGAGAAGTATTTGTCTGGTCTTGCCGTTGACAACGAACTGACTTGTGCCTTAGAAGAAAGGTTGAACCAGTGAAGGCCAGTCCACATACATCACACACAAACTCATGACCTGACATGGTAGAAAAAAAAAATGTGTCACCACCTTTGATGTTACATGCAACCNAACTAACTGAACGACTTTAAATAGACTTCAAACAGACGTGTATTCATTGTGCATAGGTTAAGCTTTATTATATCAGAATAACTGTTGTCTGGACTCACTGTAAGCCAGACGTTCCTCTCCAAGACGGACAGTCAGAGCTGTTCGCGACCTCGTCCGTCTTAAAAGTAGTTGACTGTACTGCATCTTTGTCTAAAGTTTTGGGTTATATTTCTTAAAACTTTTTAGAATCCGAAGCTGCAAGAAGGAAATCCAAAATGTTCTCTTTCTCAAGACGCACTACACCGGAAGTGACGTCGTCGCTAATATCCTCAGTCGTTTTGCTGATCTACGTGGCCTGCGCATTGCTCTTCCCAGCGGAGGCCTGTCGACGTTTTATTGGCCTTCAAGATTCCACTGGAAATATGTGGATATCATGTTACTGGACGGCACTCTTCCCAATATACTTTGCAATCACGCTCGATTTAATGGTGAAGTTATGGACGAGATTATGCAGCCCCAAACCGCATTCATCACCATATTACGCGATCCAATGTCACATTTTGAAGTAACGTTTCGAAACTTAAACTTCGCGGAAATTTTAGAAATGGAGGACCTTGGGCAACCCTATTTGACGTTCTTGGAAAATCCTGGAAAATACATCGGTAGGGCAATACAGCGGAAGAGGTTTAAGGTAGGATAATGTTTTAAATTTTGGCCTTTAGGCAGTGCAAAGTGATGTCTTGTAATAGCACCTTAATATTCGAAGAGTCATATGGTGAAATCTACCGAGATGGCTCCTGCCTTTACTGCTTTTCTCCATTTTACCGAAAAAAAAACAGACAAAATCTGTCCGTTCTTCGAATGTGGACCGGCAAGGCTTTATATAGATTCTTTTTCCAGGCCTATCGTACCTCAAGGAACGACTGAAGTCAGCTGCAAAAGTTTACTTAACAATACTTAGCTGTGTTGAATTGAATACGTTTACCTGATCTAAATCTCCCTAACGTAGCTCCTTTTCTTGCTGATAGTCGTCAGTTGCTAATATCGTCTTACAAAATAATAAAAGCCTCTAAAAACGCATGAAAACGACTGAATTAGAAAACGAGCACGGTGACTCCCCATTTTCTTTTTTACTTTTTAACAAAGTTGATCTTTACCCTACTACATGGCAAGTTTTCAAAAAATTCTGTACGTGGAAACATTTTGGGCGTGAACGTAGGGTCGGTTTTGTTATTAAGAAAGAAAAGGGCCTGAAACTAAGTTTGGAAAATATTACTTGAATTCTTTTTTTTAGGATTCTCTCAACCTTATCAAGAANAGGGCAATACAGCGGAAGAGGTTTAAGGTAGGATAATGTTTTAAATTTTGGCCTTTAGGCAGTGCAAAGTAATGTCTTGTAATAGCACCTTAATATTCGAGGAGTCATATGGTGAAATCTACCGAGATGGCTCCTGCCTTTACTGCTTTTCTCCATTTTACCGAAAAAAAACAGACAAAATCTGTCCGTTCTTCGAATGTGGACCGGCAAGGCTTTATGTAGATTCTTTTTCCAGACCTATTGTACCTCAAGGAACGACTGAAGTCAGCTGCTAAAGTTTACTTAACAATACTTAGCTGTGTTGAATTGAATACGTCTACCTGATCTAAATCTCCCTAACGTAGCTCCTTTTCTTGCTGATAGTCGTCAGTTGCTAATATCATCTTACAAAATAATAAAAGCCTCTAAAAACGCATGAAAACGACTGAATTAGAAAACGAGCACGGTGACTCCCCATTTTCTTTTTTACTTTTTAACAAAGTTGATCTTTACCCTACTACATGGCAAGTTTTCAAAAAATTCTGTACGTGGAAACATTTTGGGCGTGAACGTAGGGTCGGTTTTGTTATTAAGAAAGAAAAGGGCCTGAAACTAAGTTTGGAAAATATTACTTGAATTCTTTTTTTTAGGATTCTCTCAACCTTATCAAGAATGGAATGTTCTTTGATCTTGGTCTGCGAACAACAGATTATCACAAGACAGAGGTGGTACGTGACGCCATTTTGGATATTGACGATAAGTTCACCCTGGTGCTAATTTATGAATATTTGGACGAGTCGCTGGTTTTGATGAAAAGAAAACTGTGCTGGGAACTCGATGATGTGTTATATTTAAAGTTTCATTATCAACTCCACGGTGAAAACACACTTCACAATATCAATAGCAACATCACAGAACAAATTTACCGCTGGAACAAAGCGGACGCCATGTTGTATCAATACTTCAACAAAACGCTTTGGAATGAAATTTACTTCGAAGGAAAAGGTTTCGTGGAGGAACTTCGTGAGTTTAGAACTAAACACGAAGAAATGGAAAGAGATTGTTTGGGACTGCAACTGAATTTGGAGAAAATTGCGCTAAATGCAAATGTTACATCATTAAATCGATACTTTTGTCAAAAAATGCTTTTTGGAGAGATTGAGTATGTGCACTACTTTCGACGAAAGATGGAAAATAACAAAAGGAAGACTCTCACGAACGGCATTGCCGGCTCGGGGAATGGGACGAGGATATTTTCGGAGCATGCACATGAAAGGATTGGAGAAAAGACAAGTTTACTCACAAATGAGACAGATGCAAGTTCAGTTTCAAGTCGTTGACCAAGGACCGGGAACCAAATTAAAATGCTCTGTTATTACGAGGCATCTTTCGTTTTCCGAGCCCTTCCCGAATGGGAAAAAGTGAATCCGAGTCTTTATGACGTACAACAATTTAACGTATAACGTATTTTTAACAATCAGGCCTCTAAAATAAACGAGTTATACGTTCAGAACCATATGAAAAGGTCGGGGATCCTCGTCGCCTCGCTTAGGGGTGTAAATAAAGGATTTTGGTCTCACTTAGTGTACATGACGAAACGCCACTATTTTTTGTCTTTTAGAGTTGCACTCGAAGAGGTAACAATTAAAAAACGCTCCGTTTTTAGGCTTGCAGTTCTGCCGTTCTCCTGAGTCCGGTCTACTAGCCCGGGCTCCCTTCTTTAACAGTGGCTGGTAATCAAGCGATTCAAGCTTATTACGTTTTAAGTGTTGTCTTTAATGAGTCAAATAAAGCTTGAGCCACGCTAAGATTAATATCTTTTAGAGGTTTAATTCAATTTCCCAACGAGCATACACGACCTTTTCGCATCGGAGTACCCCTCCCCCACCGGGGAAAAATGTAACACCCGACGGGTCTGTGTCCCGTTAATATGCACTCCATTAATATTTAGTTGTCTAATAAAAATGGCCTTTGGCGCATTTTCTTCTGTTCTGGAAAGCACATTAGTGCATCTGTGTTGGAGTGTTTGAGTGCGCGCGGTAGGAACGTAGATTGAAACGTCACTTTTTAAAACATGAGGTTTCTTTTCGCTTTTCAAAATTACATTCACCTTTACTGAAATGAAATCCTCTGAGAAGTAATTAACTTTTTCCCTTGTTTATCAAAACAGTCAAAACAACTGTTTGTTCGTTTGAACTACAATGAAACTAAAACAACGGTGGCACACACTCTGTCTTTACTAACTGTTCACTCGATCATTCACTCACTCACTCATATTCATCGAGCCCATGAGGACCTCTTGAGGCCGGTTTTCCAACTGTTGCTTTGAAATAATCTTTTCGTCCAACTGGAAAATGATAAATACAGTATATGATTCTCATCAAGAAAGGGAATTGACGAGAGGACGGTTCCTAGTCCAGGGAAACCACTAAAACGCAGTAAATTATTTTGTTTCGGCTCCTTCTGACTGATAAAGCTCCACAATTCTATGGTTCCATTTTATAAAAATAAAATGCGTTCAACGGGATTCTAGAAATTACACGGTCATAAAAATGTACGAAGAGCAACAGATTTAACAATTCAGTGCCCATGGAGTCGAACATGCAGCCTGCGGTGAGAGCTTAATGTTTCTACATCCTTTGTTTCCATTTCGTCAGCTAAATTTAAGTGTAAATTAAAGGAACCATATCATGGTTCGTCGCTTTTTAACAACCGAAGTCCGAGCTATAAGTCCAAGTTAAAAGGTGTTAGTCAACTACAGTGCAAGAAGAGTTGTGTCGTCTCCTTCACCAAGCTGAACTTGGTCCTGTTCATTGCTTGGAGTCAGCTCTAACTGTACATGTTCAGCACCTTCGCTCTGAGTCGCACTTCCAAGCTGCAGGAGTTCTTTCTCATTGACCACAGTATTGTCAGTATTAAGTTGCTCGCTGACGCTATTTATTGTAGTGCAGCTTAACTGTAACTGCTCTGTTGCGATTGTCGTAAGCTCTGTTCCATCACTTGAGGAAATCTCTTGGTCTTCCATATCATCAACTCCAGCGCTATCCAACTGTAGGTGTTCTTGTTGTAATCCTTGTGTGCTATCTAAGTGTGACAGTTCCTCTCCGTTCTCTTGATGATTCTGTGTATGTGTGGAATCCTCCTGTAAGTTGTCCAACTGTAAATGCTCAGGCTCCATTAGCTCTGTTATTACACCTTGCAACTCCTCCTCGCACCCCTTTCTTTCTGCACCGCTCATCTGCAGCTGTTCGGAGTCACTGTTTTGACGGACACTCGGCTGCGGCTCATCTACTCCCTGCTGTCCATTGGTCTGCATCTCTTCATCTCTGTGAGTTCTGTCTTGCTGCTCATGTCCTGGTACTCTTCCTTCAAGCCGAGCCTGCTTTTTAGCATGAACTTTCAAGTGAGCTTTCACGGAGTTTGGTTGAGTAAACCCTTTGCCGCACAGATCACACTTGAACGGTCTTAATCCAGTGTGGATCACTTCGTGTCTGTTACGATGCGAGATCATTGTGAAAGACTTCTCGCAGTGTGAACACTTGTAGGGCCTCTCCCCTGTGTGGCTCCGGAGATGGCTGATAACATCCGAGCTTCGTTTAAAGCCTTTGCCGCACTGAGGACAAGGATAAGGTTTTTCACCCGTGTGAGTTCGCATATGAGTGGTGAGATTCGCACTGAGCGTGAACGCTCTATCGCATACGGAACACTTGTACTTTTTCTCCGGTTGTTCCCCGGTGTGTTTGCGTTGATGAAGTTTGAGCTTTCCTTTTTCTACGAACCTCTTACCACACTCCTCGCATTCGTATGGCTTTTCTCCACTGTGCACGCGCAGATGCCTCTTGAGGGAGGATAACTGCGATAGACCCTTGTCACAAAACGTACACTTGAATTCCTTCTCGGTCGCGTGACTTCGCATGTGGTAATCAAGCTGAGACTTCCACTTGAACGTTCTTAAGCACTGCTCGCAGTTAAATACGGGCTTATCTTCGGGCGCGGTTTTCTTCCTCTTGGTGGGAGAAGGCATTTTGGCTGTGTCACTAGGATCTCGCTCGTTTCTTGCCTTACCACGTGTCTTCTTACGAGGTCTCATTTCAGCTCTTCCATCTTCAGCTGCAGGTGCCTCACCCTCTTCTTCACCAGGTAATGATGACTGCAAGTTGCTGGACTTCTTTTTAGCTTCCCGAGTCTTTGATTGCTTTCTTGGCTTATGCAGGGCCTTGCCTACAACGGATACTTCCATACTTCCATCGACAGCAACTTTACCACTAGACACTTTTCTTTTAGTGCCAGAGCTTTTACTCTTTTTAGCTTTCTTTCGCCCTTGGGATTCATTTGGTTTGGTTACTTTTGTCTTTTTAGTTTGAGGTTCAGAGCCGTCAGCTGTAGAAGCCGCTTTTCTTTTCTTTCCGGCAGGCGTCGCTTTAGAGGATTTGATCTTCTTGGCCGCAGCATTTCGTGCTTTTGTACCATTTGAGGAAGACGTTTCTCGAGCCTTTGAGAGCTTTGGTTTGCTGGCGATCTGTTTTGCTTTTCCCACACTCTCTGCAGAACGTTTACGAGTGTTCGCTACTTTTGGTGTTTTGCCGTTCACCAGAGGCGTCGTGTTCTGTTTTTCTTTACTTAATCTGCCTGTTATTGACACCCCCGAACTTGGCGCAGTTTCTACAAGGACAACACGATAAGACGAGTTTTCCTCAACAACTGTTCTACTGTTTTCACTATTAGTAGCTCCAATATCAACCACAACCATTGACGACTCTGCATCAGAAGGAAATGTAACGTCCTCCTGATTGCTTTTCGTCCTCTCGACTGACTCCACTGGCTCGTCTGCTTGAAATTCATGGTCTTGAGAAGGATTTGCCTGTATACTATCCTTGATAACTCCACTTTCTTCACTGGTAGCAATCCCATTGTCACCTATAGTAAGCGATGACTCTTCGTCACACGAAGACACTGTCGCTTCCTCTTCGTTGGCTTTCTCCGTCTCTAATAACTCCGCGGGAGTATCTACTTGACCTTCATGGTCTTGAGAAGTATTTGTCTGGTCTTGCCGTTGACAACGAACTGACTTGTGCCTTAAAAGAAAGGTTGAACCAGTGAAGGCCAGTCCACATACATCACACACAAACTCATGACCTGACATGGTAGAAAAAAAAAATGTATCACCACCTTTGATGTTACATGCAACCATAACTCCTAAACTAATGTGAAAACCAACCCCAAACATGAAGCTTGATTAAGAATATCTACTAAACATACCTTCAAATAGCCTAGGTTAAAAAATTTAACCCTCATCTACATGTAAATTTGACCGGTAACATACAGATGTGCGATAAACACCTAAACTGGCCCCAAGGGAAACAGCGAGTTTTGTTTTCCCAAGACCCTTAATGCTGTGGGGAGCATTGAGGTCGAGAGGAAACAAAACCCACTGTTTCCCGTAGGGCTGGTCGTAAAGTGTTTTTTTATGTCTCCCAACTCAAAAATAGAGAAAAAAAAAAAACTGGAAAAAATTATTTACTTGACGCCAGCTGGCATACAAATTTGCCGCGTTTTCAAGATGCACGACCTGATCACGTGCGAGTCCACAGTTCAAGATGTTGTTTCCCTAGGGTGTTAGTGGATTTTGTTTGCCCTTGGAAGTTAGTGACACGTTCTCCTCCGATCGGAAAACGTATTTGAGTTGGGATGTATAACAATGACATTTCATGCCCCGCTCAGTTCATTGTATATCACATCATACACTCCTCTAACGTCTCTAATTAGCTGGACGACTAACAGTAGAACCTAAATCTTTTAAACTCTATAATGCTTTGGAGATATTGGAAGCGTACAGGAAAGTGCATTTAGGATAGTAGAAACATTCTGTGATCACGACAGGTACATGTTAAGCACATTATGATGACTGAATCCTGTCCTACACGTGCTACTATAGAGAGCTTACCGAGCTGGTCTTTCTGGGTTGAGCTACCACAGGAAACACTGTCATCAAACCAAACAAGCAGCTCACTGCCAGCCTCCACAGGGACACATGTCTTGTAGTAGATCTCACCACGGAACTGTACTGCAACTAAGTTCTGTTCTTTGTTGTCACGTGCACAGTTCACAAACCTCATCCAATTGCTGTTGTGTTCATCTGAGCCATCAACTATGCGACTGACTTTACCACCTTCCAAAACCTAGCAATTGGGATTTACAATGATCAGTTAATGAGAACTTGAAGTTATTTTTGGTTCATGCAATTAGAGTACAGTGTGGTGATTATCACAATGTATTTGGATTTAGTTTAAACAAAGCTATCTGAGAACTTAGTACTAGTTGTTATGACCCTCTGTATGTTTACACTGTATTCTTGACCTAATAATGCCACACTGCCATGTCTCCAGAGAGTTTTGAGAAGATTTTCAAATACAGTACCATGGTACAATAAAATGCTTATTGACTGAGCCAGGTCTGGCTAGTTGCAACCATACATGCATTAGATTTGGCTTGGAGTCATTTTGCATAGCAAGTTTCTCTGAATGCTGCACAGACACTGCTGCACTCAGTCCATATACATGTACCATGACCTTGAGCAACATATTTTCACATCTGGCCTTCCAATCACTCAATAAGCTGACAGGCTATTGTGCTACGCTTTGCGCAAAAAGGAAAAAAGGTCTATAATATTTGAAGTTGGAAATGTCTGTCACGAGCACCCAAAGAGTGGTCTTTTGCATTCTTTGTTTGGTTGTACATGTATAACAGTTTCAAATGTCTCTTTAAGGGTTAAACATACTGTAATAAAAAGGATAGTACCCCATCGAATCACATTGTATTTACAAAATACATTGAACGACTGAGATTGCTTCAAAGTCATAATACGGTCAAATTCCTTATCAATACATTATGTTCAAGGATGTGTAGAATGTCTAACCTACATTGTATAGAGGCAGGCATTTCTTGCCAACAGTTTCATGTAGATTGTGTACCAGGCTACACTATACATGCTTCACAGAACTGACTTACAATGACCTCCAAGAAGGGCAAAAAGAACTGACACAAGTTTAATATGTTTATTCTCTCATCGATGATAAAAAAGCCTTTTATAAAATGACTGGATACTCACATCCCACATATACATATAGTTGTGCCCCTCTCCAACATATAAATGTTTTGCAGAAACTGTTTGTCCTTTGTAGGGTCCAAACATGACCCTTTTTTCAATCTTTGCCCTGGCAAAGACACCCATTTGGTCTTGTCCAACTGCTGATGGCATGAGATACAGATTGCTAGGGAGGGTGGCTCTTGCTTGGTTTTTCTGCTGTGTTCCACTGGCTGTGAGGCAGTCGGCAACCCATTCTAACGGTCCATGATCTGGACAGTCACCATATATACATTGCTTGCAACATTCATCAGAGACTGAAAGACAAGTCAAAAGAAAATGACAGGTCACATGTATGGCAATGGAAAAGGTGATGTGCAGGACAAATTTTATAGCTTTGCTCCAGACTACTCTACATATAGATTGTCACATACAGCTGTACCCCCCACTGCAAGGTATTCCCTTATATCAGCTACATAGGTACAGTACAGTATGTGTGGCCCCCTAAGGTTTTTGAGTGATTTTGGTCTAAAAAACGGTTTGTTTTTCTCTCTAGCTTGCCATTAGGTATTTTGTTTACAAGGATCTTTTTTTTTTTTTCACATCAACATTGGTATAATTGTAAGCCTTCTCAAATGTTTATGCAAATACAGTGGAAGCCATTTCCGGTTAGCTGTGGTCATACATTGGAGTTGTGTTCTAATTTTAGAAGTCTGAAATGGGGTATCAGTTTTTGTTCAACTCTGAAATAGGGTATTGACAAAGTCAATCACAGATGTTGGTCTGAAATACTGTAAGGTGCATGTTCCAATGTTTGAGTGCTCATCCCCACCAAAAACTTTGAGGAGTATCCCACTGGGCAGATACAAGTACCACACAATTCTTTCAAAACGTAGGTGCAAAATCCTTCCAGTAACAAGGGATTATAAAACTGCCTTGGATTAAATACATGTAGCTTCCCTAGTGTTGGTGTTGTTCTTCATCTTACATCACCACAATTTGTTTTAGGGAATTTTGATGCTCATCTGAGATTCATACTACATTGTATTATCACACTCACAGCTAATACTGTATGTACTGTCATGCGCTAATATCAAGATACTGAGAAAAATGCACAATTAGCAATGCAATGAAAGCAGGTCGTCAAGGATTTATTCAAGGTCTTATAAGCATTAAAGGTATATTTTGGCTATATAAGCTTGAGCTGGGTACAAGAAGATCACAAACAAACAAGCCTTTCCAATGAAATTTCTCGGTGTGTTTCCAGAAGTAAAGTTGCAAAATTTTGTGGTCTTGTCAATTTACCAGGATGGCATTGCCCATAATTTCTTGCATGTTCATGATAATTAAGCTGACCATTAAGGTTTTTTTTAAAAACAATAAGCTGACCAACTGACTAACAGAACTTTAGCTTTCCCTCCAAAAAATGATATAAGACCAAACTCAGTGAACCGATCAGAAAGCTAGAAAGCATCATATGAGGTTGAAAATTCAATAACATGAAACATTTGGCTGTTAAAAATAATGAATAAAAACACTTGTCTAATGAAGGTCAGGATTAAAGAAACACAGAGTCCACCAAGGCACAGTAAACACTGGTGATACTTACAGTGAAACCTGTACTAAGCAGACACCCTTGGGGACCTTCACTAGTGTCTGCTTAATACAGGGTGTCCACTCTAAGAAGGTTCTAACATATTGTGAAATAATCATTAATTATTAACCCTTTTGTAACTCAGTGTGACACACTTGTCCAATCAAAGAATGCACATAGCACAACATCCGGTCAGTCAATACATCAACCTGGAATAATCTAGTGCTTAGCTTTGAAATGATATTGCTGAACAATGTTAAAGGAGTCTGAGGTGAGCTTTTAGAAGTAGAAAACCCTTGAAGTGTCCGCTTACTGCAGGTTTTGTGCAGCAAAATGGCTTAATATTGGCATTCGCATCTGCTTAACAGAGGTGTCCCATGAATGCAGGTTTATTTTACAGTAAATGTGGGAGGAAAACTTTGGAACTGAAGCTGGTTTCCACTTTATAGAGGCTGTCCACTTAATACAGGTTTCACTGTAATTGAGAAAATACTGTAGCGAAGCTGTATGTATGAAATTGAATTAATCTGCCATGCATTTACATGTACATGTATAACTCACCAAGATATTTGTCATCATGACTAAACTCCATGACTGATCCTTCCCAAGCAGATGTTAATTCTAAACAGGAGAGATAAATACATGTACCTATATTTTTAAATGTTCTTGAATTAAAACTANTCTACATGTAAATTTGACCGGTAACATACAGATGTGCGATAAACACCTAAACTGGCCCCAAGGGAAACAGCGAGTTTTGTTTTCCCAAGACCCTTAATGCTGTGGGGAGCATTGAGGTCGAGAGGAAACAAAACCCACTGTTTCCCGTAGGGCTGGTCGTAAAGTGTTTTTTTATGTCTCCCAACTCAAAAATAGAGAAAAAAAAAAAACTGGAAAAAATTATTTACTTGACGCCAGCTGGCATACAAATTTGCCGCGTTTTCAAGATGCACGACCTGATCACGTGCGAGTCCACAGTTCAAGATGTTGTTTCCCTAGGGTGTTAGTGGATTTTGTTTGCCCTTGGAAGTTAGTGACACGTTCTCCTCCGATCGGAAAACGTATTTGAGTTGGGATGTATAACAATGACATTTCATGCCCCGCTCAGTTCATTGTATATCACATCATACACTCCTCTAACGTCTCTAATTAGCTGGACGACTAACAGTAGAACCTAAATCTTTTAAACTCTATAATGCTTTGGAGATATTGGAAGCGTACAGGAAAGTGCATTTAGGATAGTAGAAACATTCTGTGATCACGACAGGTACATGTTAAGCACATTATGATGACTGAATCCTGTCCTACACGTGCTACTATAGAGAGCTTACCGAGCTGGTCTTTCTGGGTTGAGCTACCACAGGAAACACTGTCATCAAACCAAACAAGCAGCTCACTGCCAGCCTCCACAGGGACACATGTCTTGTAGTAGATCTCACCACGGAACTGTACTGCAACTAAGTTCTGTTCTTTGTTGTCACGTGCACAGTTCACAAACCTCATCCAATTGCTGTTGTGTTCATCTGAGCCATCAACTATGCGACTGACTTTACCACCTTCCAAAACCTAGCAATTGGGATTTACAATGATCAGTTAGTGAGAACTTGCAGTTATTTTTGGTTCATGCAATTATAGAGTACATGTACGCATTTGGTTTGGCATTGTTTTGTTTGTTATATGCTGTAAATATCTCTACAGTAAACTTACAGTATAACAGACTACAAACTGAACAATCCACTCTGGCTTCTGATTCTCTTTTTGTATGTCTTGTAAGTACATTGTGTATCTCACTGTAAGTAGTGCAAGTATTGTAAGGGTAAAGTATAGAACAATACTGCTTATACATACACCACTAGAGTATTTTTCACATCAAATTGTGTATTTTTAGCCACCTACAGTGTGGTGATTGTTTTCACAATGTTTTTGGATTTAGTTTTAACAAAGTTATCCAAGAACTTCGTGCTAATTGTAATGACCCTTCGTATGTTTACACTGTATCCTTGACCAAATAATTCCATACTGCCATGTCGCCAGAGAGTTTTGAGAAGATTTTCAAATACAGTACCATGGTACAATAAAAGGCTTGTTGACTGAGCCAGGTCTGGCCAGTGGCAACCATACAGTGTACATGCACTGGATTTGGCTTGGAGTCATTTTGCATAACAAGTTTCTCTGAATGCTGCACAGACATTGCTGCACTCAGTCCATATACCACGACGTTGAGCAGCATATTTTCACATGACATCTGGCCTTCCAATCACTCAATAAGCTGACAGGCTATTGCGCTATGCTTTGCGCAAAATGGAAAAAAGGTCTATAATATTTGAAGTTGGAAATGTTTGTCACATGCACCCAAAGAGTGGTCTTTTGTATTCTTTGTTTAGTTGTATAACAGTTTCAAATGCCTCTTTAAGGGTTAGACATACTCTAATGAAAAGGATACTACCCCATCAAATCACATTGTATTTACAAAAATACAACTGACATTTTTTCAAAGTCATAATACAGTCAAATTCCTTATCAATACATTATGCCCAAGGATGTGTAGAATGTCTAGCCTATAGAGGCAGGCATTTCTTCCCAACAGTTTCATGTAGATTGTGTACCAGGCTACATTGTACATGCTTCACAGAACTGACTTACAATGACCTCCAAGCAGGGCAAAAAGAACTGACACAAGTTTGACATGTCTATTCTCTCATCAGTGATAAAAAAGTCTTTTATAAAATGATCAGATACTCACATCCCACATATACATATAGTTGTGCCCCTCTCCAACATCAAAATGCTTTGCAGAAACTGTTTGTCCTTTGTAGGGTCCAAACATGACCCTTTTTTCAATCCTTGCCCTGGCAAAGACACCCATTTGGTCTTGTCCAACTGCTGATGGCATGAGATACAGATTGCTAGGGAGGGTGGCTCTTGCTTGGTTCTTCTGCGGTGCTCCACTGGCTGTGAGGCAGTCAGCAACCCATTCTAACGGTCCATGATCTGGACAGTCACCATATATACATTGCTTGCAATATTCATCACAGACTGAGAGACAAGTCAATAGAGAATGACAGGTCACATGTATGGCAATGGAAAAGGTGATGTGCAGGACAAATTTTATAGCTTCGCTCCAGACTACTCTACATATAGATTGTCACATACAGCTGTACCCCCCACTGCAAGGTACTCCCTTATATCGGCTACATAGGTACAGTACAGTATGTGTGGCCCCCTAAGGTTCTTGAGTGATTTTGGTCTAAAAAACGGTTTGTTTTTCTCTCTGGCTTGCCATTAGGTATTTTGTTTACAAGGATCTTTTTTTTCCACATCAACATTGGTATTACTGTAAGCCTTCTCAAATGTTTATGCAAATACAGTGGAAACCATTTCCAGTTAGCTGTGGTCATACATTGGAGTTGTGTACTAATTTTAGAGGTCTGAAATGGGGTATCAGTTTTTGTTCAATTCTGAAATACATTGACAAAGTTAATCACAGATTTTGGTCTGAAATACTGTAAGGTGCATGTTTCAATGTTTGGGTGCTCATCCCCACCAAAAACTCTGAGGAGTATCCCACTGGGCAGATACAAGTACCATACAATTCTTTCAAAACTTAGGTGCAAAATCCTTCCAATAACAAGGATGATAAAACTGCCTTGGATTAAATACATGTAGCTCCCCTAGTGTCGGTGTTGTTCTTCATCTTACATCACTACAATTTGTTTTAGGGAATTTTGATGCTCATTTGAGATTCATACTACATTGTATTATTACACTCACAGCTAACACTGTGTGTACTGTCATGCGCTAATATCAAGATACTGAGAAAAATGCGCAATTAGCAATGCAATGAAAGCAGGTCGTCAAGGATTTATTCAAGGTCTTATAAGCATTAAAGGTGTATTTTGGCTATATAAGATGATAACAAACAAACAAGCCTTTTCAATGAAATTTCTCAGTGTTTCTAGAAGTAAAGTTGCAAAATTTTGTGGCCTTGTCAATTTACCAGGATGGCATTGCCCATAATTTCTTGCATGTTCATGATAATCAAGCTGACCATTAAGGGTTTTTTTTAAAAACAATAAGCTGACGAACTGACTAACAGAACTTTAGCTTTCCCTCCAAAAATGATGTAAGACCACACTCGGTGAACCGATCAGAAAGCTAGAAAGCATTATATGAGGTTGAAAATTCAATAACATGAGACATTTGGCTGTTAAAAGTAATGAATAAAAACACTTGTCTAATGAACGTCAGGATTAAAGAAACACAGAGTCCACCAAGGCACAGTAGACACTGGTGATGCTTACAGTGAAACCTGTACTAAGCAGACACCCTTGGGACCTTCACTAGTGTCTGCTTAATACAGGGTGTCCGCTCTAAGAAGGTTCTAACATATTGTAAAATAATCATTAATTATTAACCCTTTTGTAACTCAGTGTGACACTTGTCCAATCAAAGAATGCACATAGCACAACATCCGGTCAGTCAATACATCAACCTGGAATAATCTAGTACTTAGCTTTGAAATGATATTGCTGAACAATGTTAAAGGAGTCTGAGGTGAGCTTTTTGAAGTAGAAAACCCTTGAAGTGTCCACTTACTGCAGGTTTTGTGCAGCAAAATGGCTTAACATTGGCATCCGCATCTGCTTAACAGAGGTGTCCCATGAATGCAGGTTTATTTTACAGTAAATGTGGTAGGAAAACTTTGGAACTCAAGCCGGTTTCCACTTTATCGAGGCTGTCCACTTAATACAGGTTTCACTGTAATTGAGAAAATACTGTAGCGAAGCTGTATGCATGAAATTGAATAAATTTGCCATGCATTTACATGTTCATGTATAACTCACCAAGATATTTGTCATCATGACTAAACTCCATGACTGATCCTTCCCAAGCAGATGTTAATTCTAAACAGGAGAGATAAATACATGTACCTATATTTTTAAATGTTCTTGAATTAAAACTAAGTGAATCAACAGGAAGGGTTTCTCCACTACATGTAGCAACATGCCTTTTGTTATTAATATCTCATGTCTACATGAGTATGTTAATACATGTAAAAACAAGCACACAGGTGAGGAGAATGAACTAACCAAATTATCAGCCACATGTGTACCTACATGTACATGCAGACAGTAAACATTTCGCACATTAAAAATACAGTAATTCTGATTAAGCCCCTCCTATGAAAACTGTAAACCCATCAACACTGAAACACGAAACACAAAAATGTTGCCCATAGGGTATAGAATATAACCTCTCCCTGTTCACTGTACGACATTGTGGTATTACAGTGTGCGTTATAGAGGATATTACATGGTTGTGCAGAGATACAAAATTTCTCTTTGAATGTTGAAAAATATTTCACAAGTCAGCACAGCAAATGAGTGAAACATTTTTCGACATGAGAAGAGAAATTTTGTATCTCCAAGCAACATGTAATTTTCTTTTTGTCACATAACATGAAATTCTCATAATATATAACAACATTTTTAGCAATTTCCGAAGATTTCTGAACACTTTCCAAAGATTTCCAAAGATTCTCCAAAAGTTGTCTGAAGGCAAGGCGAATGTTTCCAAGCATTTTCAGAAGATTTCCCAAGACACAGTAATTGAAGATTGCCAAGACTTACAAAAAAGATCTGAAAATGTTTTGATCATATGCTAACAAATTTAAGCACAGTTAAGGGGACAAAAATGTTCTCAAAAATGATGTCACCCATGTGTGGATAAGAATGATATCCTCATGTGTCACATATCGTTTCTATTAATTTGCTACTATTCTTTATATCACTAACTTTTAGATAATAAAGATATATCTTTTATTTGTTTGTTCTAATTTTTGTTGTTAATTTCAGCAAAACCAGGACTGTAGAAGTACAGAAAGTCATAAATCTAATTACTATTTTCTGCTACCATCAGCACTCTGCAACAACATAACTACAATCCATATGTGAAGACAAGTCACTAATCAGTACTCATCACTAATCATACAATGTACCAATTGCACTGGTATATAAAAATCTATAGTTTATTTTTGGATAGGATTGGCTCCGGTCATTTTCCTGACTAAAAAATAACCTTTAGTTACCCTTGGTAGTGTTTACAGTATAATACAACTAGAAGGCTAGTGGGGCTGAGAAAACAACTGAAAACAACTAATTCAAATTGAACATAACATTGATAAGAATACCAACTGGCCAGAGGCAAACCAGCTGGCAATTTACAAACATAGCAGAGGATTTGAACTTGCAGCAACAATGAAACAAATCCAGGTAGTAGTGAGAGTGGAACTCAAACCCGTGACTGTTGGATTGTGCTGATCACTCAGATACACTCCCTCCTGATGCTGGTTAGGCTCAGGATTATTTGGCAACAGCCAAGACCAACTAAATACAATTTATTATTTAGACTACAGACTCCAGTCGAGCCATATAACCCTGCTAAGCAATTCAGTACAAAAGCAGCCACTGTTCTGTTTACTGCTGTTTTAGTGTGCTGTGACAAAGAATTCTGTGACAACAAACCAGTTTACATACTAAAATTGCAAAGGGTAACCACATGGTATAATGAGATTTGAGGGGCAGTCGATGGATGAAGCGGGATAAGGTTTAAACGCATTTAACCAACAAATGCAAGTGAAGAAAAAAAGGAGGCTGCAGGCATGTTTTGGTGTTCATGCAGTCTTTCCACCTGTCTTCCTGTTTTTAATACATGCATTTTCACCCCAGGTGAAATTCACTCAGCCTAAACTTTTCATTCATTGGATAACCACCAGACTTGCAGAAATAGCCTGGTTACCTCTGGTTACTCTCTTAATAAGATTAATGTAGATGATGCATGTATGTTCGACTAAAGACAACGTACACTGTAATCTTCGACCTCACTTCTTCAACTTCTCGTCCTTACCTTTGTAATGCGATCTAAGAACAGCTTTACAATTCAGCTGTCAGAGTTTTGACACATTTAAGCTTATTCTGCAAACTTTCAGAACCGTAGTGTCATTAGGAAAGCATTTTGCCCCCACGTTATGATAAATTGCTCCTTTGAAATCAGTTATAAGTACATTATATTTAACAGTCAAATGAACATATCTCCAAGAGAGCCAGCAAAGCAACGACGATCTGACTAAATACAATGGATGAGCTTAACACGGCGATCAAACAAGTTGAAAGTGTGCGAGAGGACGTCGACATTTTCTTGAAACTGGATCAAATTTATCGATGGCTCTACCACGCATAATAAGAGGTAATAAGACGGTAATAAGAGGATATCAAAGATTCTACTTACCTTCAGAAGATCGTTTCACGGAGAACAAACGGCAGCAGTAAAAAAGAAGCCAAATTTTCGATCGAACGCCACAGCAAAACTCAAAACACTAAGGAAGCTTGCATCTCGTGTGCAAATGAGGTTGGCCGCGCGAAAACTGAGCCCGAATCTACACAAATGGACCGGTGTGGGAGGGGAGGGAGAGGAGAGCAATTTCACGGATGGGCGAATACGTTGTTAAAACTCTTTGTTTATGTATCCCTTAATCATGTAGACAATAACCAATCCAAATGGTAGAAAGCCTTTGTATATTTTAAGGTATTCCACGTGTCGTATTTGTTTACGAAAGTGTCCTAAAGTTCAACGCGCTATCAAAGTTTTCCGGCCGAAAACCCTCGAGCTATCCGGTAGCGCGCCGGGTATCTTTTATTCAGCTGCTAAAAATTTCTATGAATGTCTAACCAAATTTGAATATTCTGTCCAATGCGACTTTGTGTAATTTAAAGGTGTGAAAAACCTGACAATATAGGGGTCAAACACTAGGCAGATGTCACGATTCGCTCCGACTAAGGGCTAACGCTCGAGACGTGAGCTTTCGAATCCCTTTACGGTGGCCAATTCACATTATCAACCCAGTTAATAAAACCAAATTATCTTGTTATACTGCCCATCGAAGCAGCACCATAGTTTCTTTAGAAACTTACCCCCTCTATTCAGATGTCAAGACACTTGCACAAACAGCAACTGAAAACCTAGCCTGCAGAACAGGCGAGAGCGAAACGCTAAAGCGAAGCGCGATACACGAGCGCGGAGCGCGACCACGAGCGCGAAGCACGAAACCAGCGAAATACTTTGGACCTTGTCACGTATCAAACAAATATTTTAGAACGGGAATTCTTAATTACTTACTACCGCCAGAACTGAGCAAAAGAAAAACTGACAGAGGAGGGGGAATCTTAACTGGTTAAGGTAACGTTAAAGCTTTCAGTCACACTCGGTAGAATTATTGTATGCTTTTGTATGGTGTATATCATGTCGAAGGCATTGGATATTTATAAACTTTATTAGAAATTATGTTTTCACATGGCATACATACAAACACACAAATAAACAAACAAAAAAATTCAAAACAATTCAAAACTAAAACTTTGGTCTTAAACAGAGTTCAATAAACTAATCCTGAGCAATAAAAGGCAAAAAGCAAAAGCACCCTTATGACGTCACTGTATAAAATGCCGGGAATAAAATATCCTGGGAATGCATACATCTTATTAACCGAGTTCGCGGGCCGTACTGTAAGTTATGGACCGATTTTTTCCCCATCGCGCGAGTATCGCTTGGGCCATAAATCGAAGGGGGAAAACGAGGTTCCGTAACTTACAGTACGGACGGAGAAAACGAGGTTAGTAAGATATTTATCATATTTCTACCGTGTGTCTGACGGGTTCGGGAACGATTTCTTCTCACGCAGAATGCCTTCAAATTTCTGACGCTTGAAGTCGTTGTTAAGTGACTCTTACGTCGCTAGCAGGTTTTAATATACAATTTCAGAAGTAAAAGAAAGTTTTAAACTCTTACTTGCTGAAAAAGTTAAGAGAACTTGGCGATAAATCACGAAAAACTTTGGCAACAATAACGGCTTTAAATTGTAGTGAGCCGTACAGTAAAATACGGCCCGCTGAATTGACCAATCACAGCGCGCGTACTAACTGAGAGATATAATAAAGTACAGTAATGTCGGTGATGGCAATATGGCGATCATCAAGAAGCTCTCTAATGCTAACCTCGTTCCCATGGCCTTTTCCCAGGTAAGGGAAAAGGCCATGGGAACAAGTTTGTACCTTTGCAGATGCAAAACTTCATGGATTTATTAATTTTGCTAAAAAGTCAATTCTCAAATCATCGCTATTTTAAGGCTACGAGGAAAAGTATCTTTCCAAAAGTTCTATGACGGGGTTGAAAGCTTCGTTATTGTAGTGTATGCCGTCCTTGGTTCCAGGTGGGTATGAGTCGCTGATGGGATAGACGTCCAATACAGTGATACCACTTGCACACATTGCCGAGTTGGCAAAAGCGTTGTACAACTGGATCCTCTGAAAATTAATAAATATAAATAGTTCAGTCCTACGTTAATTGTATTTTTGCGATTATCATTTGCATTTCTTCGCAGCATACATAGTTTTTCTATAATTGAAATTTTTTTAATCTGGCTCTACCCAGGCTGTGTTGCCATCTAAGACGGAGCCTTATTATTCACAGTGGTCCAACTAAGCTTTAGTTTTAGAGTAAGGGCTCACACCGTTAGCCTACGTGGCGTCTTCTCCACTGCTTGCCGCATTGAACATGAAAAACCTAAATTCCTGGGACATTTTGGGGTCAAGTAAGCTTCCCCACCCCAGGGCTAGGGTGTGAAAGGGCCGGGATGTGCTTCGGCTTAGGAGTAAAAATTGCACATTTTGGTATCAGTTAACGTGTTCAGGGCCGAACGCTGATAAAGTTTGGCAGTCAAGGGGGAAGGTATTAAGAGGCGCCCTCGGTAAATTTCAACTATGGCCATTTGGACCAGAAAAAATCAAATTCCTCACACTTTCTCAGATAAATGGTCTAGATAAGTGATTCACAAAAATATAACTTTCAGTTCAATTCGATTCGTATTTTAGCGCTGGGGCCACCACCTTGGTTTTGCCCCTCTGAGAGGACTTTCAGCGGCCATTTTAGGGCACATTTTTAACAATTTGCCATACAAAGAAAACGATATAAATCCGGGTAAAAACCCTTTATTCGAGACAAGCAAATGTNTCTCTTTTAGGGGTCTAAATCCAGTTTTCCAACGATCACGCAACATCGACCTTTCTACATGGACACCACCCCCGTTCCCTCCCGTTGCCCCCGCCTTCCCCTACTGGAAGCTGCCTCAGTATCGATCATCGAGACAAGCTTGAGGCCGCAGAGGCCGTGGAAGGCGCTGAATACTTTCAATGATTCGTATAAACTGTGGTTCCCAGTGGTAGGTTACTTGTATGAAGTCTAGTCGAATACATACGTGGTTGGTCGTGAATCTGCGGAATGCGCCCATAATATCAGCGGTTTGTCCATGTATGGCGGTTGTCGATTTCCAGATAGGTTTCCCATGGTACAGTTTCTTGATCTCGGATATCAATGCAACAATGACTTGTTGGTAGCTCTGAAAACTGGTCGTCTACAGGGGTTCATACGAGAAAAAATAGAAACGATTAATAGCATAGTGAAAAAGGAACAAGAGGAAATATGAAGCAAATTCAATGAGGGGGACGATGGATTCGACATGTTAGACGCACAGTAACAAAGATAAAAATATCATCAGGAAAGTAAACGAAATAGTAGCACCAACAACTACAGTACAACCTTAAAACAAACTTTGGAAGAAATCAGTTTTAAAATACACACTATATCTTTTGGTGGCATTAAAACGATCCGGCATTTGCTTGGAGGCTGGAAAAATCAACGCCAAGATATCTTTTGGAAAAATTATGTAAATGGTGCTTTCTAAGGAAGGCCGATATCCACATTTGTTTTTATCGACATCTGTCGGTTTAACTTGAGCTTTTTTTGTTCATCTTTCCCATTATTGGCACCAGTTAAATGTACTGTCTCTTAAAAGAAGTTGATTTATCTCTAAGGTAGTTGTGTTTAAACAATTCTTCAAAATGTCTCAGAATAATTCAGCACCTTAATATAGTGAGCTCCAGCGTTTAACAGCAGTGCGCTGTCCCTGTCCATATCTTTCCTCTCAATCACTTGACGGAAAAAATTTAAAACTCTTGGGACGTGCAAGTTGACTTCACCACATGTTTCTGTCTGTGAAAAGAAACAATCATACAGCAAAATTCATTAGAGTCTTGAAATCTTTTCTAAAGCAATGTTTCCAAATGTTATCGTTATACTACGTGAGTAAGATACGGTAATGTAAGCGGTAAGGTAAAGTTGACGTCGTGCCAAGTGGTCCATACCGCCGGCGCTTATCTCTGATTTCCGTAGTATAAAGTGACTAGGAGTATTTCTTTTTCCCCTGGATGGATAGTAGTCCATCACAGGGTTATCTCCAGTATTAAATTCGCCCTACCCATTTATACACCTGGGTGAGGGGCACTGTGAGAGTAATGTGTCTTGCACAAGAACACAACCGAATGTCGCCGCCCAGGGCTTGAACCCAGACCGCTCGATCTTGTGTCCACTCCGCCTCCCATACCATGTGAGTACCAGGTGAGTGCCTGTCTGGACACTTGCAGCTTCCAGTATATGATTGTTGTATTGTGATATACTTAAGCTGTTAAATGGAAATGCATTTTAGAGTCAAAAAAAAATTTTGAAGACAAACAAAGAAAGGAACAGACGGGCAGGCAGACAGACAGGATGACGTCAGACAGACAGCTCAGGCAGACAGGCAAAAACAACAACAACAACAAAACAAAGCGTTATATTTTGTCGCCAATGTAACTTCGCGGAAAACTTTTTTTTCTGCGAACAACCTGATAAGTAGAGTGCAATCACTTTGAATGTGGTTTGGTGGTTTGCCATTGGCAAACTCGATAACAATTGCTTTTTACTGTAACAAAGTACAAAAGCGATATATACTAACCAGTTCGTAGAGTGTCTTGGGGTATATCCAGTTATATGTGTTGTTGCATTCTTTAAACACCGATGAACAAAGCCTTCTCATTGGACTGTTAACTGACATGTAAAAGTAATAACTTAGTGAATCGCCGTATACCCAGAACACACCTCGACCAACTGTGTGATCGTGTTGCTTGCGTTGATTTGCTAAGGTTGTATAATCTATAAGAAAGGATTAAACATATATTAATTATTTCAAAATAACAAAGTTAGGTTTGTTGTAATAATATCGTTAGTAATGCCCATGTCGACGAGTGCATTGATATTTGCCCTGATATGAATAAATCATGAGAGGCTCGGTTGCTAAGGCCTAGTTCACACTAGCGACAGAACAACATAATGACGTAATGTCCTTATGTTTCCAATGTGAACATCCTGACATAATGACATAATAGCAACATAACGACATGAACATGAGGAAATAATGACAAAAAAAAAAAAAGAAAGAAAAACCCCTGATATTTTCGTTATGTCTTCATAAGCGATCACGTCACTATGTCATTATGTTGCCATGTCGCTTCGTGGAGCCGGCGTGGCCTACTGGTTAGGGCGCTGGATTTGTAATCCAGAGGTCTCGAGTTCAAATCTCCTCCCTGTCACTAGATCATAACTGGATTTGTGTTTGGTGTTCCCAGATTCAACTCCTCCACGCTTGCAAATAGCCAACCGTTAGCCTCCCGCCAGTTGGGATTTTTAGCAAGTTTCTGTTTAATTGATAATATTTGTTTGCTGATTTCAATGTCCACAATTAGTACAGCAGTAATAAACACTTCCACACTTAAATAAATAATGGTAATTGAACTGAGTGGAGTGCAATTTGGTCTGAAATCATACGCGTGATTTCAAAATCGAACGAGCGCGCAGCGCGAGTTCGATTT